TCAAACGCACTGCTCTCTCGGCAAAAGCGAAAAGAGGAGCAACTTGCCATTTGGATATATCTTAGCTGTGTTTGTGCCCTCACTCATGGTCCAGACTTTTTTCAAATAGGACATGGAGTTTTTCTGCAGCGAGCGTTTTGGTAGAAACTGCGCCTCCCGTTCATTATAATGGTAAATGACCACAAACAAGTGCGCACACCATCTTTGGACCTTGAGTGTGACGCGATCGGGTGGGGGAGGCGGTCCCGCTGGGGGCGGCGTGACACGGCTCGGGCCCGCCAGTGCCCCAACGGGGCCCTAGTACTTTAATTAGTTCTTCACACATGGTGCTTTTTTTTAGATTTCAGGAACTACTTCCATTCCATGGGCCACAGGAACAGGATAAGGTGAGTGAGGAGTTCCTGGACTACCAACTCATGGACATCCCTATGCCCCAAGATCCCACCACCTTTAATGTTGAGGAGTTTTGGGGAATATGTCCTCAACAAAGAGCAAGGTAAGAAATAGTTTGCACCACATGGCATAAATAATTAATATGAAATAATAAAAGCTAAGCATTAGAGTAATAGACACTCTTGGTTTATTTTTTCAAAGGTGACCGGTTTGAGGCAGTTTGGGAGGCTGTCAAAGATAGCTGCATTGGTGCTTGTGCTCCCACATTCAAACACTGATGCTGAAAGGGTGTTCTCCATGGTTGGACTAAACAAGACCAAAACAAGAAACAGTTTGGCACTGGTCTGTGTTGACAGTCAAGCCCCTCCTACCCAGCCCATGTCAGCAGCTTCATTCATGCTGTTGAATGCCCAATCCATTAACAATAAACCTGGACTCATTCATGACATCATCATTGAACGCGACATTGACATCTGCTGCATTGTTGAGACATGGCAAAAACCACAGGAGTTCATGGCACTGAATAAAGCCACTCCCCCAGGCTATGCTTATATACAGAAGCCTCGCTTAAAGGGTGGTGGCGGTGGGCTGGCTGTGATTTATCGGGCTGACATCCTCACCAAGAAGGTGGCAGTAACCACTGCCACCTCTTTTGAATGCATAGTGTTCACACTGGCTGGTTTCTCCCAACTCCAGTTTGTGTTGGTGTACCGTCCACCTAAAAACACCAGGGGCCTCATGTATCAACACTTGCGTGGAACTCATACCAGAAACGAGCGCACGCAAGGTCCGTAACGCTGAAAAAAATCCGTATGTATCAATGTGTGCGGACGCCGAAATCCACGTGTGTTTCCTTGATAAATCCCAATCAGCGTGGAATTGAGCGCAGATGTCGGAGTGACTGGGCCCGTCCCCGTTACGCCCTCCTATAAATATGCAGATTTATTTAAATAGGGTCTCCCTGTCCTCGCACGCAGTCAAAATGACAAGAAAAACTAAATTTACGGCGTGCGAGGTGGAGGTGCTGGTGGCGGAGGTGCGACAGCGTGTTTTGTTTGGCAGCCTGTCCAGTGGCGTCAGTGCAAAACAAAAACGCTTGGAGTGGGAGAAAGTTTGCGAATGGGTGAATGCGGTGGGTTCCGAGACACGCACCCCCGCGGAGATTTAAAAAAAATGGTCGGACCTCAAGGTGGAGGTCAAGCGGCGTACAGCTGCCCTCCGGAGGAGTACTGGCCAGACAGGTGGGGGTCCGGGGGAGGAGACCCTCGCGCCGTTTGAGCAGCGCGTGGTGGTGATTATTATTATAGGGTAAGTGGCGTGTCACACAAATGTCCACATGCTTTGTCATCTCACTGAGCAAAAGACGTATATTAGACGTCTAGTCTAAGTTTATACTTCATTTCAACGTCGGGATTCAGTCTATTTTTAGACGTGATTTATACTTCGCCCTTAACTTCATTTTTCGATAACTTTTTATGCAATAAACAACTGTAATGTGCATAACTGACCTCTAAATACTGGATTACATTACCTATGATACCGTGGAGAGAGATGTAAATGCAACAGATACACAGAAGCAGGAATTGAAATGAACCAATATTTTTATTGTGTCACAGAAATCAATGTGTCGGCCGTATCGCCGGCTTGCGGAACCCCGGCCCGCGGCAGCCCGTCCGCCGGCTCGGAGTCGTCGGCCAGGACCAGCGGCATTCGGGCCACCCCGGCCCCCGGCCCCAGCACCAGCACCAGCGCGCCGACAAGCGGTGGAGCGTCCACCAGCCGCAGCGTTTCCGCTGGACCACCCGGACGCAGTGGAAGGGTCCTCGCGAAGGGGGTCCTGCAATCTCAGGAAGAAATCATCAGGGGGATCGCGGGGATCAACGAGCGGCTGGACCGGCTCGTAAATGTCCTCGAGCGTCTGGTGGAGAAAATAAATTAATTTGGCTCATTGAACTGTGTATTCACTTCTTACCCATTCACACTGTGGCGATGAGATTCTCCCGTGCGAGGACGGCGGCCCGGCAGGGATCAGCTCGCATCCCTCCGTCTGCTGCTGGTTCGTCATGTGGGGCGACGTGCTGCTCGGCCACGGGGATGTGGTGCACGCTTGTCACATAGTGAGTCACCAAACACCGCCACACAGCGTCGCCAAAGTGCGAATCACAGTCAACGCAAATATCAGCTCAACGCCAATTTCTACTACACCTCCTGACTTTGCGTTGATTAGCGCTGGAACCGACGCTCGTTTCGCGATGATAAATCTGGACGTGTGCGCCGATTTTGGCGTACGCAAGGTTTTCTTGCGCCGCAAGCATTGATACATGAGGCCCCAGCTCTGACCGGTCTGCCTTCCTGTCAGAATTATCTGAGCTACTCACCCCTGTCTGTGCCATGTCTCCATCCACGTACTTGCTGGGGGACATGAACGTGCATGTGGATTCCACCAGCTGTGCTTTCGCCACCGAGTTCATGTCAGTGTTGGAATGGTTTAATTTTAGTCAACATGTGCGTGGCCCCACCCACAACAAGGGTCATACGCTGGACTTGGTGTGTTCCACTGGTACCCCAGAAAACTCCTGTGCCCATCAAGGTGTGAGGGACATACGCAGGCACCGGGAAGGCAAGGGACATCATGCCAAAGAACAGGCTTTAAAGTCAGCCAGCAGTGGTACACAGTTCTACACACCAGCAACCTATGTTGGAGGCATGAGTGTTCGAGAGGCCAAGGTACATAGCACAGGGAAACCAAATGGCTGATGTTTGATTAATTGCAGTGTCCATGAAATTGTTGTATTTCAATAAAAACATATGTCTCTAATGTTTATGATTATTAATTGGTTGTTTATATTGCAGACAAGGAGAGCTGAGGTGAAGGTTGCTGTTGCAATGGTGCAACACAATATTCCATTTTTCCGTTGCTAACCATTTCAGTCCAAAGAATGTTTTCAAGACTCCCCCACGGCCCAGAGCTTTAAGAGTGCAAGTACCAAAACAACATGCATCATAAATGAAGCAGTGGCACCACATTTCAAAAAGGAACTAGTGATGAAGATGAGAGAGAATCTTTTCACACTTGTCACAGATGGCTCAAATGATACTGGTATGAGTTTAACAACTAGCAGTAATTTAAGTTCGTATCCATTTCTTCATGCACACTAATTCAAGTTTCTAACAATATGTAAGTTAAGTTCACATTATTGTTACAGGCCTAATCAGGTCTTACTGGCCGTTGCCGAGCAGCTGTTATATTCTATTGATTACATGGCATATATTACTTATCATTGTGATTCTATCTATCTATCTATCCTCTTTCAAGGCTTTTAGGGCCTGAGCAAATTGATTGATATGTAGTTTAGGTGCTGTCCTGTCATGCTGTTCTTGTGTTTAAATTGAAAGTGTGCTATTTTTTTTATATGTAGGCTATATATTTGTGTGTATTTCTTTGTGTGTATTTGTGTGTATTTTCCAGTTATTAAAATAGTGCTTCTATATGACATTATTTGTGTGTGTCTACAAATGGATAAATAAAATTAAACTAAATAAAATATTATCAAATCAATGTATATTGAATTAGCCTATTAAAACCGCCAGTTAATAATTATTGAGACATAGCAGGAACCTAGCTCTAAACCTAGATATATCCTTGATTAATTATTATACTATACTACAGCCACTGCTGCCATGTTCTAAAATATCATTTTATTCATTTTGAGTATTTGAAAACGCCAAAAAAATATGGCTTCTATCATGCCTCTTTGAATGAAGTTTGCAGAGAAAAAAATTGCGTAGTATTGAGCGAACTATGATTCATTTAATGCGCTGAGACTTCATTCCGCTGGTTACACAGCGGTGCAGAGTGAGGCGGATGACCGGACCAAGATGGCGGCCGCATTTCTCGATAGCGCCCATTCGTGGTAGTGGCCGATGCGGGGTCTACTCTTTATTATGTCTATGGTTCCCACTCGGAAGCATGATCACATGACCTCCTACGTCACCGGACGTGACGTAGAATTGCGAGAATAGTGTTTCCATTACACTTTTGCGATATACTTCTGTATCGACACGTCTGAAAAACCACCTCATGAGAGCCTAAAAACTTTTTAGCGATATTTGAGAGGTTTTTCGAAATTTAGGTGTTTCCATTACCAGTTTTCTATTGCGATATTTAGGTTTTGCGCAATTCTATGGGTAATGGAAACGCAGCTAGTGAGGATATTTGACAACAAGGTTGTGCACAGATTCCTTGATATGTGCACCACCAGTGGAAAGAGCTGTGGCACTGCAGAAGTGATTTATAAAAAAATCAGTGACACCTTGCAGGAAAATAATATCCCTTGGATAAATTGTGTAGGTCTCCTCATCGACAGTGCTCCTGTAAATACAGGTTCCAAAAATTCAATTGCAGCCCCAAATGCTGTGAGAAAATGCCAGCATTTACATACATGGATGCCCCTGTCATATTGTACACAACACTGGCAAGCATGCTGGGCAGAAGTTTTTGGAAGTAAGTTCAAATATGTAGTCTTTACACTCCCAGTCTGTCAAACCCAATGCCAAGTGAAACGGTTTGCTGTATAGTGTTGTAATGAATCTTAAATATATTGCAGATGTCTGGATTTGACCCAGAGGATCTGATTGTGGATGTGGGGTACTGGTTTAAGGGAAGCACCAACCGTAAAGGTGACCTTGCAGGTTTGTGATTCAACCAGCTCTATTGTTGTACAACAGATACAAATATTTTTTAAATTTCTTTGCTTTTGATGATGTGTATATTTATATATTCCAGAATTTTGTGACTTCCATGGGAGCGAGTATATGGAGACTCTGCTGCATATTTCAGTGCGGTGGTTAAGCCTGGAGATGTTCATCACACGAGTTCTGTGGCAGTCTGGGCCACTTACCAGCTACTTTAAGTCTTTAAGTATGTTGTTTATTTCATTGACAGTAGTACAGCTGCATTAAACCGGACTAAATACATAATTTTAAGCACAACTCTTTTTTATTTACAGATGAGAGTCAACCAAGATTTAGAAGACTGGTGGATGCATTTTCCAACCCAATGACAGAGGTCTACCTCCTCTTCTTCCAATCAGTGCTTCCAGTGTTCTCTGCACTGAACCTCCTTCTCCAGAGAGGAAAGTCTTCCATCTTCCTGCTCCACGGAGAGGTAAAATGCACGGGTTGGCCTACTCTGCTGCCTGTCTGCTTATTTTTGATTGGCTCATAAGTCCCTTTTTCAGTATTTCATGCAAGTATTTTATTAACTACAAATTTGCAGATGACAAAGTTCATCAAGAAACTGTGTGCAAGGTTCATGAAGCCCTCAGCACTCCAGGGCCGCGAAGTCCATGACATCGCCTACAAAGACCCACAAAATCAACTACCAGGTAATACTTTTAAGTCTCAAATAGCTTTGGGGAAGACTGTTGTTATGAGTTGGGTGATAAATCTGATGTGATGGAAAAGACAGTCCATGGGTAAAATAGCATGTTTACAGAGGCATCACTTGCATTTATTGTGTATATCTTGCTGAATCTGTGCCCACACTGTATGTTTGTCTAGTCTTGCATTAAAATGCTGATCGCCAAGTCCAATTCTGGTGTGTCTACCCTGATGCATTTAGTGAACAAAATATGATTTTGTTTCTGGGGTATTGTTCAATGTACTTAATTATCTTTATCTCTGTCCAGCAGAGGGCTGAGTGTGGGGTGGAAGATGCCCTATACTTTGTAGACAGGCAAGGGTTTCCACATTTTCCAGGATTTCAAATAGTTAATACTTTAATTAGTTCTTCACACATGGTGCTTTTTTTTAGATTTCAGGAACTACTTCCATTCCATGGGCCACAGGAACAGGATAAGGTGAGTGAGGAGTTCCTGGACTACCAACTCATGGACATCCCTATGCCCCAAGATCCCACCACCTTTAATGTTGAGGAGTTTTGGGGTAGTATGTCCTCAACAAAGAGCAAGGTAAGAAATAGTTTGCACCACATGGCATAAATAATTAATATGAAATAATAAAAGCTAAGCATTAGAGTAATAGACACTCTTGGTTTATTTTTTCAAAGGTGACCGGTTTGAGGCAGTTTGGGAGGCTGTCCAAGATAGCTGCATTGGTGCTTGTGCTCCCACATTCAAACGCTGATGCTGAAAGGGTGTTCTCCATGGTTGGACTAAACAAGACCAAAACAAGAAACAGTTTGGCACTTGACGGCACTCTGTCATCAATCATGACAGTAAAAATGGCCAGTTTGGAACCACAGTGTTTCAAGTGGGAGCCACCAACCCCTGTCCTAAAAGCCTCAAAGCAAGCCACAAACACTTGCACTAAAATAACACACACACACACACACACACACACACACACACACACACACACACAGAGTAAATTGCTGAAATCAATAAATATATTTGTTTGAATGAATTTATGCGTCATTTGTCAGTCATCCATCACCACCTCAACCAAATCCCCACTGCCGCTGGTAAAATCTCACTCTGAACTCCCTTCAAAACTTGAGAGCCCTGCAAATGTCATCAATAACTAATAGATATTGACTAATATTAAAAGCTTTTCCTATATGCATCACAAAAAAAGATGCTCTTTTAACTACCCCACCTTTAAATGTTCCATAAATGAAACTCAGATCAATCTGTGATCATTATCATGCTGTTCCTGTCAATAGTTCACATACTTGCTCCATTATCTCTGTCACTGTGATCAAACATCTGAAGGTACTGTTGTTGTTTGTTTCTATCCGTCTCTTTTACTCTGTCTCTCCCCTCTCTAAATCCAGCTCAGTCTCAGCAGATGACTGTCTTACATCAGTCTGGTTCTGCTCAAGGTTTCTGCCTGTTAACGGAAGTTCTTCCTCTTCACTGTACCTTGATAAATGCTGCTAATTGTTTGTCTTAAAAAGATGAATATGGATCAGAGTGGGTCTGATCTTACAGGATGAACTCAGTCTTACCTCGTCTTTCTGTTGGTCTTTGTAAATATCATGAATAGTTTGGTCTTGATCCGCTCTCTAAAACATAGTAAGATAAAATGTGTTGTGAACTAATCGGTTGTAATTGATAAAGACTGAATACCTTCTTTTACTATTACCAGCTTTAAAATCTACACAGAGCTTGTCAAATCAATGAATTATTCTCATTTGTCCTCTTTAAAGGGAAATTCCAGTATTTTAAGTATATTAAGGTGGTGTTGTATGAGTTACATGTCAGTTGTAAGTGCATTAGCCGTAATGGCTGCAAGGTGTTCGGTATACTACTGCTTACTAGAGATGGGACTAACTTTGACCCCAGCACTCATCCCAGTTTAAGTCAATGTGCTACCTGAATGTAAGTGTGTAAGTAGTTGAGAGATTGAAGACAGGGGCTACCAGTGTTTGATTAAGGCAGAGGGATGACTTTGGTTCAATAAAATTAACAGTTAAATGAAATCACTTTTATGGTCACATGTGTTGTGAGGGTGAAAAGAAAAGCCTTGGTCGACGCTCCTTTAAAGCACATGTAGCTACAACTCAGCTTCTCTTTGGAGCAGCTGTTGATGTGTCACACTGCTAAGTCTGAGAGGAGTCTGTCTATAGATGAGTAACTAATTGACCCAAATGACTACTGAAACAACTTCTTTGGATTATTTAGGACAGTATTATTTTTGAGTGTAAGGCTGTGATTTTGGTTCAAATAAATGTGTGCATGAAAGTCCTAGAACTTCTTCTGTCAATGCCTCACAGGCAGGTTTCCACGGTGTCAGGCACATTTCAGTGCAACAAATAATCAACAACAACCAATATCCAGTGCAACTATCTGAGTCTGCACATACATTTAGATCTATATTGATATATTCTGATGTATATCTTTTCTGATGAGCATGTTTGGTACATGTTTGGACCTGACAAGATTAACACGGCTGAAACCGCATTAAATTAAATATCCAGTAAATAGTCACACATGATGAAGTTAACAAGATATTTGCACAGCTTGACCCGAACACATCTCTGTGTCCTCTCCCTGTCCTGCTGCTGCTGTGGCGACAAGGCTGACCAGGTGATTTATTTTAGTGATCAGATGAGTTATTTACTTTGAAAATAAAAGAAACTTTAATTCAAAATTACCTGTTTATCTGATGTTCTCACACCCTTAGAATTCTGTGAATATTCAATGTGGAGTTAGGCCCACTTACAAACATTATAATATTCAGCCGTGTGAGCCAAGTTCATTTTATATGCCAACATCAATGACAGAAAGAGCCAGGCCACATAGCGCAATGCGTCATTTACACACAGGTGGTTCTGATTTTAATGCCATTATTGGCATTTGTTTATGTTGTGATCTGTGCGCACAACCCACCTTTGTCATGTGGGGTTTAAATATATTCAACTTGATGTGAGTGTCTTTTTTGTGGGAAAGGGTGTTTGTCTTAATGGTGGGTATGACCTTACACACACCAAACCCCTCTGTGCTTATTTGAAAGAGTTTGAAGCACGTGACGTCCTCCTTAAAGACTCCCTCCAATGAAAATCATGTTTTTCTTGTTGTATACATGTTCATTTGGCATTTTTCTGATGCTACAGGACATATCATGAGAAAAGTAAGAATGAAATTAGATTTCTGAGTACTCCTGCATTCAAATCACTGTAAATCTCTGGCAGACCCAAATGGCAGCATCAGATACAGTGAGGTTTCCTATGTAACAAATCCAAGCTCCACCCCCAGAGCCCTGCTATACAGGTCAGACTCGGAAAAGTAGAGAGGATGATCGCAGAGCAAGTGTGTGCATTAGCAGATGACAATGCTCGTAAGAAAGCTAATTATAGTATTACCTCCCATCATGTCCCAAAAGACATTAGTGTCCGAGAGCTGAATAGCTCCTATGTTACCTGCCACTTCCACTACACTGGCAATGTTAGACTGGAAGCTAGCATGAAGAGAAGTCTGTAGAGCAGCGCTGTCTCTGCCCACGACTCAGAGGGGAATTGTTAATGAGCTACTGGAGCTCTGCAGAAGAAAAACCCTTGAAAATGTCACAGGTAACATGATTACGTGATAAAAACATCATAATCACAATTCAAAGACCACTGATAACACTTATAGTCGTAAAAAAAAAAAAAAAACTATCAGAGTGGGAGTTTTTAAGTGACACTTGTTGAGGGGCTACCTCTGGTCCCCACAGCCTGGCATTGCTGTCTTTAGACATCTCTTTGACTACTTCACGAAATTAGCAATACAACTTGCCAGTGGCAGATGTAAGGTGAGGAGTGGAGCTGATGTGATTGGTGAAAATCGGACTCGACCCCTCCCTTTTTCCTACTCGCCTAGCTGGAAGGAGCTGAGATAAGGACGCGTTGTACTTGTGTTGGTCTGTGCCACTCACAAAAATACCAAGGTGTGCTTGGGCATCCCATCGGCGCAGTGGACCTAACTTAGGCCATGGTAGAGCCCAAATGTGCTTGTTTAAATTCAGGAAAATCAATAATCATTTTCAGTGTTCCTAACAAAGCAGATCGATTTATATCACTAGCATTACTAAAACTAGCATGCAGCACTACTGAAAACTCACTTTATAAATAAATATAAACACATACTTTCATGATAATTATATCTGTGCTTTGGAGTCATGCTCATATGATCACATGTCATTATGTCTCTGCAGATGTATCAGATATCATCAGATAATGACTCAGGCCATAAAAATAAAGAAGATCACAAGGTGGGGTCTAAAAATGAGTCTGGCCAATATTTAAGGAGTGAGGAAGTTTAAGGAACTGGTAGTTTATTTACAGTGTGTCCTCTGGTGATACAGTACACATTTGCATTTGAGCTGTACTGGGTCACTACAGGCATGACCAGGGCTGGCATAGAGGACATTTTGGAGCCAGATGTCTTACTGCTGACTGCAAAACAAAACGCTCTTTATAGGGACAATAAAGTATATAGTTAGGCTACTGCTTTAAAGTTGAGCAAAGCTAGTGTTGAAAAATAGTCAAACTACTGTTTATTTGGAGTTAAAGCTTTGTTTCTGATGGCAGAGGCTGCTATGTAAAACACCATCACTACACAGCTTGTCCCCAACACACACTGCTGGCACATCCACAGGGGAAAGTCCGATGCTATGTGTCTTGCCCCAAGAACACATTGGCATGTGGACATCAGGATCTAGGATCAAATCCCCAACCTCCCAACCTTCAGACTGAGAGATCACTGCTGAAGCAGGGATGGGAATCAGTAACCGGGCCCATAAAATACCTGGTTCAGCATTTTTAAAACCCAATAGTCGAGTCTGCTATCAAGTCTCAAGCATCCTTTGATTTATGCCTTGATTAATGTCACATCATGTTAATTAAATATCACATATACATGTACTGTCTAATCAAGTTTTTGTGAAGTTTTTTTTTTAAGTGAAACCATACTCCTAAAACTTATCAGAAATGTGCATATTAACCTGTGCCAAACACCATTCTTAGCTACTATTGTACTTTACAAAACTTCACAAAAACTCCAGTAAAAATACACTTAATGACATGATTGTCACCTAATGACACCAAAAAGTCCAATTTTATTGGAATATTTGGACCTTGTCTCACTGAACCTTCACTATTCACACATCGGGCTGTATTTTCGTGCCTTGCCAGAGATGTGCCGCAGGCGCGGCTTAAGTCAGGTCCGCCGCGCCGACAAGGCGTTCCCAAGCACAATTTGGTATTTTGGTGCAGCCCGGCGTAAGTATCCCCCCTCCCTAACTCAGCTCCTCCCAGCGGCGTAAGTCGTAGCGAGGGAGGAGAGAGGGTGTGGAGTGGGTTTAACACAGCCGAGACCTGTATTGACCAGTAACATCAGCTCCTCTCCTCACCTTTTAAACTGCCACCGGCGAGGTGTATTAGAATTTTCGTGAAGTAGTCAAAGAGATCAAGAGATGTCTGAAGACAGCAATGCCACACGATGGCGACAGAAGGCGGCCCCTCAACAAGTGTCGCTGTAAACGCTGCAGAGGGCGTCCTTCACACTGTCTCATATGAGCACAGATGGATTTGGTGTGTGTAATGTTGGACCCACTGGTAAGACAAACACCCTTTTCCACAAATAAAGACACTCACATAAAGTTGCATATGTTTTAACCTCATGTGACAAAGGTGGGTTGTGCGCACAGATCACAACACAAATTCCAAAATTGGCATTAAAATCAGAACCATCTGTGTGTGAATGACGCATCTCGCTCCATGGTCTGGCTCTTTCTTTCATAGATGTTGGCATATAAAATAAATTTGGCTCACAAAACTGAATATTATAATATTCGTATGTCGGCTTAAAGTAAATAACTCAAATAAATCATTTGTTCAGCCGCCGCAGCAGCAGCTGCAGCAGGACGGGGTGAGGACATGGAGACATGTCCAGGTCGAGCTGCGCGAGAAATAAGAGGAAGAGGAAGAAAGAAAAGGAGGGAGCGGATTACATATCTTGTTAACTTCTTCATGTGTGTCTATTTACTAGATATTTAATTTAATTTAATGCGGTTTCAGCTGTGTTGATTCGGTCAGGTTGTGTGTCCAAACCCGTGCCAAACGCGCTCATCAGATCAGATATAGATCAGAATATATCGATATAGATCTAAATGTATGTGCTGACTCAGATTAATAGTTATGTTTGATTATTTATTGCACTGAAATGTGCCTGACACTGTGGAAACCTGCCGGTAAGGCATCGGTGACGTATGCAGATACGCCAGCGGTCTACCAAAATACCACTAGACCAGCTGCCCTCCGCCTGCGCTGAAAGCTGACCAGGTTTGAATTGGCGAGCTTTCAGCGCACTTTTAAGCCACCGGCGAGCACGAAAATGTCACTGCGCCAGCTGATTCGACACCTCCTCCTGCCTCGCCACCACACCCAGCTTGGCGGACCTCGGTGCGCCTCAGTCCACGAAAATACCAAACTGGCTGTACGCCGGGCTCAGCCAGACGAAAATACCACTGCGCGGGGTCTGCCACCCTCCGTCGCCTCACCGGCGGACATGAAAATAGAGCCCATTGTCTTTCTGGTCTGAAGTTATTAAGTGTCACAGTTAAGATGAATGAGATTCAGTTTGTATTTACTTTTACAGGCTCATTTGTTGCTCATAAAGAAAAATCCACATCATTATCTAAAGTCAAACCGCATTAGGTCACATTTGGTTGCTGCTTCATGTGCCCCTGTTGGTCTCTGATTTTCTAGTTTTATGGTGGTTTTACTGGTGCACTCTTCTTCTATATCAGGTATGACATAACACACGGGTTTCAAATATATCTTATACACCATGTTAGTATAAGTCAATTTTTTAAGGCTCAAGTGAAAATTGTTTGTTTCCACACCTGCAGTTTATCTAAAGTCTCTGAAAGAAACCAGGGATGGGAGGAAGACAGAGAGAGGGGAAGCAGTGAGGAAGTACTTGGGATGACTCAACATGGCAAAGTGACAGATGTTTGGTGGTTTGGAAACCCAGAGTGGAGTCTGTCTGGGAAACAAAAGATGATCCGGAGAGGAGGGTGGGGCGGTATGTGGGTATTAATTCATCCGTTATATCATATTTCTACATTTGGTGCCACGTTTTCTTTGCATTCGACACAGCAGATTGCTGTTAAGGAAAGACCCTCCCAGCAGGAAAGAGAAGATTTATTTCCCCTGCTGACTGGAGATGGTGGTGGGGACTATGGAGTGTGTATGTTTTGGGTGGGTCATCTCCTCTCTGTGAAACTGAGCAGGCCAGTAAATCCATGCTGGGATGTTGTCAGCACTATCATTTTGGAAACTGGTGATGTCTGATCTATGCTCCTACAGGGCTTGTAACTTTCTTTGGATGTGCTTTGTTTGAGATAAATGTAACACTGGATCTGATGGTAAGCACATGGGCCCAGTGCCCCAAAACTGCCCCTGTTGTTCTTGCAGCAAGACTTCCAACCTTCACCTGGAGAGGAAAATGGAGGACAGAGGAGGGAACAGGAAGAGAAGGGGAAGGGGGAATGGAAAGGAGCCACGGTCCTGAAGTGAACCCGGGCTGGCCACCGTAGTCAAAACCTACCCAGATTGGCACATGTAGATGTTTTTAGTGTTTCTACTGCACTGACAGTCATTGTCTTACAGTTTTCCTTTTTTTTTTTTACTATTGTTGGATTACTTAATACCTGTCTCTGAACAAATTAATGACCCAAACCCATATGTTGAACTGATTACTGAAAGGGGACAACCTCCAAAACCTTTACTCAGCTGGATGTCATTCAGTCTTTATTGCAAGACTCAAAACACATCCCCTGTTACTCAAACTGTTGCACTGTGATCCACTTGCAGTGCATAACAACAACCACAGGGAGCAGAAATTAACAAGGGTAAAATGGCTCAGCATTCATCAATGTCTGTGATTGCTGAGCGGCTTATATCAAGAAGTGTTGGTTTCCCTTCAAGTCTACATCAAACCAGCGTTTCATTAATTCGCTGTCATCCAGTGTTTGGAGAATATCTCTCCTGCCTCTTCCGTCTGCCATTTTGTTCTCTGCTTGGGAACTACTAAGCCGCTTAAAAGTCCTCTTCCTGCTCTTAACGGATCTCACATTAGGAGCACTCTTAAGAGCTAGGATTCTTTAGGAATAGCTTTTATCTTTACTAGGATCTACTCTTCACTTTTAGGGGAAATTCTAAGAAAACTTCATGAGTCTAAGAATTTTCTTAGAATTTGGCCACTAGGAGCAACTCTTTGCACTAAGAATCTTTAGGAATACGGGCCCAGATTTGACGTTTTTTCTCACATTCTCCAGTTTGTTTGAAGTGGTCATCCCGTTTTGTATTTTGTCTTTGTTGAACACATGAATACACACACAAATCATATCAACATGTTATACATAAAATAAAGCCCTAAGGAAAAAATTATGTTCACGTGAGACAACAAATACATACTTCCCAGTGTGATCGCTTTTAATTTGAAAGACTTGAAATTAACTTAGGATGTTAAAAAGAAACGTACTCCCAGTGTATTTGCTTTTATTTTGAAAGGCTTCAAATAACTTCCGGTCTGCTCATTGGAGGTGGGTCCTCTCTGTGGAGGTGGATCCTCTCAGTGGAGGTCTGCAGCCAGACCCCTCTCAAAAGAAGTTGTTGCCAATGATACGGTAAGGTCTATACAAGTCAACTCAGAGGACAGGAGGGAATGAAAGTTAATGTTGAAAATGAATGAAGATGATCTGGGAGTCAGAGGGGTAATGAAGAGGCTAACTACAGAAAAGTCAAAACACGTTCATAGAGTCAACATTCAGGTTAGATTAGTTTCCCTGGTCCATTACTGTGCATCACTTTATGCTCCTGTGCCCATCCCTGTCCTCCTTTATGCATATTCTCCTTTGGTTTTTTACATGTTTTTCCATTCAGCTCTCCTCCTTCTCCTCTTCCTCCCTCTTTCTATTCCTCCCCTAAGAGTGACTGTCGCTGCTGCAAAACAGATGGACTCTACATTTCATTGTGTGTTCATGCATCTTTGTTCTTGGATGGTTTAATGTCCCTGTTTTCTGTTTTATGGATTTGTCATTTGTTGCAAATTGTCTGTGAATGCAGTTGTTTTTGTGTTTGTGTGTCTTTGAGTGTTTGTGTGTGCAGATTTGCAAAGAGACGATGTGCACATGTGCACGTAACTTTGCAGGGTGATGATGGGGAAACTTGCCGTCATTTATCCTACACATTTGTGCTGTGCTCTGCAGTCTAGACTGTGTGAACACACATTTTATCCACATAAACAGTCATGATATTATATAAACACAACTGTAAATCACGTTCTTGGCCAAAGCGGAGGACTGGACTTGTTTTGTACAAGCTGTGCTGTTTAGTCAGTACATTCTGATGAAAGAGTAAATCTGCAGAAAAACATACACACCAGAGACAGAAATATGTGGACACACACAAAGAGTGTAGACATTACAACTATAAGTGACAGATGATCATTCTGCCTTTTTACAGCGTTCACACTTTTTTCAGACTTTCAACCAGATGTTGAGTCTGTCCTAAAAGGATTTGCTCCCTTTAGACTGACAAACATCAGTCCATCACTGATGCTGGGCGATAAGTTCTGGCTCACAGTCTGCATTTTAGTTCATCCCACTTGTTTTAGATCAGGTCTAGGCTTTGTGGAGGCCAGTGAACATCTTCCAAAGGACAGGGATGCCACGTTACAGAAGCAGAAGTTAAACCTGTTAAGATCAAGGGAGCTGAGATGATGCAATCTAAAGGATTCATTCAATCAATGAAGTTACAAAAAATGTTAGCTACAGGAGCAGGTCTCGACCAGAGTCTTTATGGTATTAGCAGAGACACAGCGCAAAGATGGGATCAGGCTGAATCCTTTCAATAAAGATCAGACTCACCACAATCCCATCTTCATCCACATAGGTGAAACACTTTAGAAATAACAATGGGATGGAGAAACTTCCTTCAACAGGTACATAAGGTCTTGGTAAATGCGGCGGCTGAAATTGATCATCATTAACATGTTTATGCCCTTAAATATTTATGGTTCAGAAGCCTCGCCCACTGGGGTCAAACATAAAAGAGGGGAAATGTTACAAAGATTGGAAACTTTTTTGAGCTGAAAGTGGATTTCCTCACATCTGTGGTGGAAACTAACAAGGATTTTCTCTTTGGAAGCATCAAAACTGGTATAAAAGCAGTCCAGAAAACTCCTGTCTGGAGCAGGATTATGGAGGCGGTGAACAGCGCTGCCGCGGAATAGCGGACAGTGGCTGAAGTCTAAATAAATCATTAGTCAAAAAGTTGCTCATGATGATAAATCAATATCTCATACATGCCTCATATTTTTTATTGCAATGACATAGGGTACATTGCTCCAATTATTGAAAGTATTTAGTTTTAATTTGTTGCGTCTTTGTAACATAGAGCAGACTGGAGAGTCTGACAGAGGCTGAACAAAAATAATTATTAACATCACCAAACGGTGTGTTGCTGCTCCTGAGGAACATTTTTATGGATTTCAATTGGACTTTTATCACTGAATAAATAGCATGAGCACTTTCTAAACTTGTCAGAATCCATCGATAATGTCCTGTTTCCTCTGCACAGCACCTTGAGGAGTCTCTCCTTGTTATTGTTCTCTGGGCATCGGGTCCTCACGTTGCACCGGCACAGAACAACAGCACTCCATTCGCCAGAGCAACATTGAGCTAAACTTTACTGGCCTAAATGATGTCCCACACCCTTTCAGGAGTGCACAACAACGTCCCCGCTGCTGTGCCAAGACAGAGACACCTGCCTTTTAGGAGTCAAACACAGCGCTCTACAGTGGCGTGAGCGTGTGTGCGCAATGTTAAAACAGTGCTCCTGCTCTGTGGCAGTGTTTCTGGGCAGAGTTATCAAATAGGCCTATTCACTAAAGACATAACAAATTTATTTTATTTTATTTACATCTTAATCTTTAAAGGGGACCTGCCATCAAAATTTCATACCCATTTTTATAATTTTTTCATAATCCTTGATGTCCTCTGATCATGTTTGCAACATAATTTTAGCTGAAAAGTTATTTGATGGTTTGTTTTAGTATGCCTAAAAAACCTTACAGGAAAACCAACTGGTTTTGGCTCATTAACATTTATGGTAATGAGCTTTGCTCTGATTGGATCACTGCTGTGAAGCCTGCTGTGCTCTGATTGGCGCAGCAGTGGAGGTTCGGATTTCGGTTTATCCATTTTGCTAATGTGTGCTAAAGTAAGGTGCCCAGATGTCTGTAATGAAATCCGGGGACATTCGGTGCGGCGGCGGGTGCAGGGGCTGCAGGGGCTGTGTGATCACAGACAAAGTCTCGGTAGTATTTAGTAGCACCGCATGCCCCTTGTAATAACCCCCGTAAGAACTGTTGTTCAGGACTGCTTACTTGTGCTTCCTACCTATTCGGCTACTGTAATAACCGTTGTTCGAGCCCACACGCAACATTTTTGCTCTCATTCATGAAACGCTTAAATCGGGGACATTTTCGGGGACAGCTTTTGCCGGGGACAGGTCATCCAATACGGGGACTGTCCCCGGAAATCGGGGACGTCTGGTCACCTTAAGCTAAAGGCTAAAAACGGCAGGTATTAAACCATATATTTTAGACCCCGAGTCCGAAGAGGAGGTGGAAGTTGAAGAAGAAGCCGGAGATCGCCAGCGGTGTTTTCTCATTCATTCTGTCCAGCTTTAAGTTCATTTTCCCGGCAGTGAACCCAGGGAAACACCGATCGTTTGGAAGAGACCCATAGCGGATACAGCGGTAGCTGGGTCTCACTCTGGCTGTGAATGAGTACGAGAACGAGAGAGTGGGCGCGGCTCACCGAGGACGCGCTCGTGAATAATAATGAGCAAGGTCAGCGCGACATCAGAGGGACCTGCTTTTTCAATTGGCCTGGTTTACCCGTTCCTTTATTTTAAACCTTTACAGAATGCAAACGACGTAATGGTTTGTTTTCACATTTACAACGTAAGACGAACATAATATGGACCTTATCTGACACAAAAAACACAAAATTACATTTTTGATGGCAGGTCCCCTTTAATGAAATCTGTCTGATTGTGCTGAATGACAGGTTTGAGGTTTGTTTATCAATGATTTTGAGACAGACATTTGCTGCACCGCAGATCCACACCGACTCAAACTTGCGTACA